AGAGATGATTAAGCAATTTAGTTCTTTGCTTGGCAGCTAAGGCAAGGAGTGAAACAACTTAGTAATAAGAGGAATTCGGAGCGGTAATGTATGCACTCCGCTGAGTTTTCAATCGCATTTTATAAGTAAAAAGTATCAGGTTCTTTTAGTAGATGCCGGGCGTAGCCGGCTTTGCCAGCTAGTGGTATATAAACAAAACCGCCACAAGCATGCTGAATAAGGGCAGAGAGGAGTGAACCAAAAATATGAGTTTTTCAAATCGAATTCACCCCTAGCGGATTTCTTACGCTTCTCTGCTTTCGTTGATATTTTTCATGTGGTAAAACGCAGATATACATGCTTCACGCATTTATTTAACATAAAACCATGTTATTGCTTTATGTCTACAATTCTTGAATCTATATGCTACTTCTGTATGACTTTTGCCAATTCTTCTGGTGTCATATCTGGACAGGACTCATATCCTACATCATCACCCTGAAAAAAAAATTACATAATGTAATTGACTTTATTTTCAGTACCGTTTATACAACTTACTCCTTCAGGAATTGGTATTGGAATAGGTGCCGGAGGTGCCGGTAAAGCATCTAAGGGAAGTGGAGTCGGATTCGGTGGCGGAGGTGGCGGTGGAGGTGGAGGTGGCGGTGGCGGTGGAGGTGGAGGAGGAGGAGCGGGAGCAGGTGGAGGAGGTAAGGGTGTACTTGGCTAAAGTTCCATATGGTAGATATTCGAACGTGGTGTAATACTTACTACTATTCATTAACCTCAGTAGACTTCTTCTCGAACTCTGAACGTTTTTCAATTTTTTCACCAGTCTCATGAGATTCTTTTTCAGGCCTCTGAGGTTCGGCCGAAAGGTGTTTCTTCTTCCTGCAGCAATTCACAATCGAATAGAGTACCACTATTGAGATGGCATTAAAAAACTGTAGCCACATATCCACTTCTGTAAAAGCGTTTAGAGTCTTATGGTGTAAAAGATGTAACGATGCCCACCACTCAAGGCGCCCTCTTCAAAAAAACGACAATGCTAGGGTAGCGAACTAGAAGAACTGACCATACTGTGCTGAAATCTGTTTACATGGTCATCCGTTCTTGTTTTTAAATAAGATTCTCTCCTTTTATTCTTTCATTTTCAAGAATGCAATAATTCGTGCGGTCCATCGTACTACTGTTAAAAATCGTTTCACTGAGTAGTTTGGCTCCTGACCTGCAAGACACACCGCATATCGGTAAACGTGAGGGTTTGGATGAGAGATCTCAGTATTCTCGAGCTTGTGTCAAAAAATCGCCACTCATTGAGACGAGTTTCTAACCATAGACAAGGTGTAGCCTTTGATGGCGGGATTTTTTCAGAAAAAAAAAACCGGAAGCTTCCAAAGGTGGCTTCGCAAATCTGATGTAATGGAACGACCAACTTCTAGAATGGGCTTTTAGGCAAGTGGACCATTATGTATCAAATGACTACGAAATTTG